TACAATTTTTTGTTTATAACGTAGTTTATACGGATTATTTTCAAAAAAATATACGTATTTTGGAAATGTTGAGTCGAATTAGTCTAGAATCGATTAATTTTATGAAAGAAAACCTTTCAAACAGCCGTAGTCCGTAAACTATGATTCCTACAAAATTGATTCATAAAGAACGGAACGTATCTACCGTCTTATAGGGAGATCTACTGTAACTGTATATATCAAAGGACTTCACTAGTATAGCAAATAAAATTATTGTGAATTATTTTTGATGAAAATATATTTAATATAAAACAACTTTAATATCTACAATACAGTATGATACTTAACATTAAAATAAAACAAACAACCTCTTCAAAGTAATTTATAACTCAAGAGATTTTTCCTTTTATGGTAACAAAATGCATCTGTGTTCTTCAAGATAAATATTCAATAAATTTTGAAAATCTGAAGAATTTTGATAAACAAGTTGTTGTTCTTTGCATTCAGAACTTCATTTATTTACCATTTGGTTATCCTAATTAATTAATGCAATTAAGCAGTTACAAATTAGTAATGGATAGTTTAAAATTATTGATATTATTTATCTCCAATAAATGTGCAATATAACAAATCTTTTTGAATTAAAAATCAATAATTCAAAAGATGACACCTCATGCAAATGGATTGTAAAATTTCTTAAAAAATAAATATTTATTTACTAAAGTATTTTTTTTTAATCAAATTATGAAAGAAAAAATTAAACTATAAAAATCTGAATTATTATTTGAAATTATTTTGAATAAATACTTACAGTGAAGTCTGAATATGATGCTACACTAACTAATGATGGAGCTGGACTTATACTTGGTGTACCTTTTCTATTTCCTAAATTTATATTTTCATTTCTTTCAACAAGTACTTCTCGTTTTATTGTCCCAGTTTTTCCTGGAGTTGATTTGATTGGTGTCTTCTTATGACTACAGAGAAGTCGCTAGATAAAATGTAAAATTTTTAAACATTAAAAAAATAACAATAAAAAGAAAACCAAACAAATCATATTTGTAAATACCGGTGAACGTCTCTTAGGAGTTGCAGATACTGGTGAATAAGCAACCATAGATGATATAGGAATAGCCTGAATACTATTCAGATAACTTGGAGTACCGTTCTGACCTCCTAAACGACGACATTTATTTGGTGTTTTGTTTGGAGTAGTTCCCATCCGCCTCTTAACTGGAGTCGGTCGGCTACCACAGGCAATTTCTTCTTCCAGCAATTTAGCTTTTTGACGATGCTAAAAGATTTACAAAATTCAAGAAACACTAATAAATTTAATACAATAATTAATTAACAATACTTACTCTCTCCAATTTTTCTTTTTCTTTTTCCAGTTGATGTTGCTCCCATTGCTCTGTTATGAAATTACTAAAATTTCGTCCAAAAACACGAAATTCTTGACCTTCTTTTTTCTCCCACTCAGCAATATGAGTCATCAATTCTTTCTCAAGCTTTCATAATAATTTTTAAAATCAACTTTTTATTGAAAAGTATTTTATAAATTAAAAATTATTAAAAAGCTATAATTACCATAGGTAGTTGTTTTAATAATTTTTTCCTTTCTTTTTCTTCTTGTAATAATGCACCACCACGATTATTGAATCTGTTTGGATCACTTGCTTTTTTCTGTATAAATTAGTAAGAAAAGAACATTTTTTAAAATCTATAAATTAAAATTTATTGTAAACACTATTTACATTATTATCTTTTTTTAAAAATCAATTGCAAAGCAATTTACAAATTTATCAAAAATTACCATTTTTCAGATGGTTATCATTATGAAGAAATGTTCAGTTAAGTAAAATTACATTAAACATTGCAAATAAATTGTGTTCATTACAAGACTGGACCAAGAAATTTATAATTTACTCACATTGATAATTCATTACTTATATATCAAAAATAACTAAAGATTAATAAAAAAATTTTAGTCAATAAAAGCCTCAATTTTAATGAGAGTAAAAACTACTTACTTCAAATTCCAACATTCTATTCCACAACTGTTGCCTTTTACTAACTTTTGTGAAAAGTTCTTGATATTTTTCATAAATTTGTTTCATTTTTTCTATTTCAGCATCATGCTGATCTAAAAGATTTTCTGTATAATCACCTAGAGATAAAGATTGATTCATTATTTATTTTAAATAGTCATTAATGTATTGTTAAAACCCATGTTAAAATTTAATTTTTAACGTAGCAAGCAAACCAACATACACACACAAGCAGATGAGCCCAGCGTTGCTCGGTCAAAAAATAACAGCAGCAAAGATTAAGATTATTAGATTATTTTGTACTTCTAACCCATATACTACATTATATTATAGTATTTGATTTATATTTACAAAGGTTATCTTACATAAGAGTTTATCACACCAAGTCCCCAATCTAATACATTTTAAAAATTCTTTAAATTATGTACAGTAAAGAAACAGTTTCTTTTTATATATATGATGGAATAATTTTTCAAAATTCATAGAAAGTTTATTTTATATACATGTAGACAGGTGTCTAAATTTAATGTGTTCTTTCATATTTTTAAATTAAATGTATTAATTAATTAAAATGTTATTTTTTAAATACTTATTTTTAAAACTATGAAAATGTTTTTAATTTGTTGATATAAAACTGATTTGAATTTTGTGGAAAATATCTGGTTCTTTTGCTGTTTTGTCTTTCATTTTATTGATATAATAATAATAATAAATTTGTAAAAAATTAGTCAAGAAATAATAATTTTAATAAAAAGATTATGTTAATTAATACATTTTTTCTGTAAATTAAATCAAGATTGCCCAACATCTCTCAAAGTTTCTAATCTTTTCAGTAAAATTGTCACTTTACAAACTTTATTTCAAAAGAAATAAGGCAAGAAAGTTTATTCTAAAAATCTTCAAACTACCTAAATTTAGTTTAAATGAAAATATGAATGTTTACAGAATTTCTTTTTCTCAAAATTTAAAATCATGATGCAAACATTTTTAAAAAATATCTTTGTATGCAAATTACAACTACAGTAATACCTCGACTTACGCGAACCCAGAGTTACGCGATTTTCAAATTTCGCCGATTCGTCTTTTGTTTGAGTGCCACGCAACCCTTGATTACTCACTTCCCCCACACTATTGTTTAGCTTACATGTTCGGATGTGTCGCGTGGAATCGACACATACCTACAATTTATTTTGTGTTATTTATTTCTGTGTTTGTTATATCTACGGAGACTTGAGAGACTCTATGTGGTGATTTCTTGTAACCGTGAACGGTATATCGATAAAAACACGAGATAAGATTAACGAGAACATTTATTAGCTTACATACATCTGACTTAGATTTTACACAAATTGCGAAATTATACCCCGACTTACGCGGTTATCGCTCGGTCCCACCTATCGCGTAAGTTCGGGGTATTACTGTACTGAGTAAAAGATTTCACATAGGAGTTATTAAGAATTTGGCTAAGACTCCACCAGCATAAAAATCTGCCATAATTATTTTCAATCACATGACCATGATATTTTATGCCAGGGCAGGGCATAAATGAGTTTAGCAGTGCTCAACTTTCAATGCAAATAAAATGGTACCATCATGACATCATCTGAAAATTGCAGGAAACAAGCTTTTTTGCACATTTGCTCTAATCTACCTCTTGCTTTCACCATTTCAATGCTTATGAATTTAAAAAAAATTCATTTTAACATTAGAATGGTTATTGCAAAGAAGCCTAGAACAGACCTAGAAAATTTTATTAAAAATGTCAGGAAATATCCTTACATCTACAATAAGAGGTATCCTGATTATAAGAATGGATGTCTAAAACAAGCAATATGGACAGTCATAGTAAGTCTTCAATTTAGTGAGTATATAATAAAAAAGCTGAGCACACCATACTTAGTATAGTATTTCATTATAGTGCAATATAGTATTTTAATAATATGATAATAAAAGTGAATGTACAGTACATAAGTAAAGATATTATTTTTACTACACTTGCAATTACAGTAAAACTATTGTCATAAAAACATTACAAGTGAAACTGGACTTCCACCATAATCCAAATGCAAATGGGTGAGTCATCTGATTAAAACTAGCAAGGACTTTTACTCTCATTTTATGCTAGTGGAATCTCAGCTTTTGATAGATAAGCATAACTACTTACATTGCATATGCAAGTAAATATTTGTTAAACGAAAAAAAAACCTACTATCATAAAATGGTGTAAAAGCTGTTCTTTCTTCTTCACTGATATAGCACTTATCCCACCATTCAATTAATTCATCTCTCATTTTTTCAACAAACTTCTGAATATTTTTACGCTTGAGTTCTTCATATTTTCCAATTTCTTCTTTCAACTAAAATTTCAGAATCCAATAAATAAAATTATTATTATTAATTATAAATTATTTTTGTAAAATGAATACTTCTTACCAATTTAGCAGCCGATGGACATGGATTAGGATAATTACTGATAAATAATTTGCGTTCTATTTCTGAAGCATTTACTCTGTCCCACAATGTCCGAAGTCTAGCATAAAGTTCATTACATATTTGTTCAGTTTCTTCACATTCTTTTTGTAACTATTTTGGAAAATAAATTATAATTTATTGTAAAATATTAAATATATTATAAATCAAATTGAAATTTCATTTAACATAAATTTAGTATCATAAATTGGAATCAAATATCAAAATTACAAAGTGCAAGGACTTTAAAATAAATGAATTCAATTTGCAGCTTACGTTTTGCAGTTTTGGTTGTTTGTAAAGTAGTATAAATTATTCTTAATATTTGTATTTATTATACACACACACACACACACGATGTTCTGATTTAAAATAAATATGTTTTTAAATTTGTTGTTAAAGTTTTACTTTTTTGGTTTTTTTTATACACTGTACTTAATACCTAAAATATTAAAATAGCTTAGAAAATGTGCATACTGTTCTAATAAGAATCTCTATATCTTTTGTTGTGATTGATAAATAAAATACAGGGAAAAAATTGTTTATTCAGGTAATTAAATTCTTTATTCCAAAAGAAACATTTTCAATCTGTCTTAAACCACTAAATTTTTAACAACTTGGTTTATAAGTTATAAATTAAAATTTTAGTACATCACTGATTTTTTCGGAAGGATATTGAATTTTTTAAATTCAATATCCTTCCTTAAAAATTCGTTGTTTTCTAAATGTAAAAAAGTTTGTGGATACTATACATAATAACTTTGTTATTAACAAAATTATGGATTATGTATCATCTTTGCAAAAATATTTCACACACAGATTTAATGATTTCACCTGTGTTTAAATATATTTGATATGATTTCACCTGTGTTTAAATATATTTTGAGCTGATATTAGACACAGTTACAAAATAGATAAAAATTCTTTCAATTTTTGAGTATTTGGATTTAGAGTTAATCAAATTTAACAATTCTGCAATTTGGAAACTGCTAGCAATAAAATTATAAAAAATGAATACAATGAATACCTTAATGTAATAACTAAGAGCCGTCGCAAACTAGTGCTTTGCGAGAGCAAAACGCTAGCAAACATACGCTAGCACAACCGATGACGTGGAAGGATCCGCCCCTTTCTTCTTGCCCACGCTGTTTTTCCTTCGCTAGCGCAGCGATACGAGGGTACGCTCGCTGTTCACAGAATTCAACAACTAGAGCATTTACGCTAGCAAGAGAGGGTGGGGAAGACGGATGACTACATAAACATGTCACATATTGAAAAGTAATAATAGAATTTTATCGATGTACGTAAATTACATGATTAATACATTCAGTATTGAAAAGAAAATAGTATAACCATTGTATGTAAATAGTAATATACAGTATAAATATTTTTCAACTAGTTAAGCCTAGTTAGGCTTAACTAGTAAACATGTTTTTTTCCATGCTGTTTCGAAGTTCGGAACGAAAACTGACTGATTACAAGTATAAGTTATAATAAAATCTTGTTCTATAGCCAATCTACATCTGTGGAATCCACGTCATGTGGACTACGTTACGCGAGCAAAAGTGTAGTTTGCGGCTGCTTCGTGCCCGCGTAGCTTACCTAGCAAAAATGGCTCATAGCATCATGGGGAAAAAAGGCGGGGCTTAGGAGCGCGAGTGAGCATACACTAGTTCCCACATCCTGTAGTTTGCGGCGGCTCTAAAATGTGAAACAAACTTCCAGAGAGATTTTCACGTATGAAGTCACATTTGCTCTTTTAACTGTTTTCAGTACAACAAACTAATTGTGAGCAAACATTCTCAATCATGAAATACTGTATATTATAAATCCATATAGAAATCATTTAACTGAAGAAAGTTCAGAAATTTGCATAAAGTTACAAACTTAAAACTATGAACCAAATATTTAAGTATTAGCTTCCAAAGTTTAACCTCAAGAAAGTCACTAATGTTTAAATTTTGTAATATTTTTAATGATGTTTTCATTATAGGAGTTTACTACAGTGTATTATTATAGTCAAATAAATTTTTCTTAATATAGTTTCACTAATTTGATTTCAGTGGCACGAGTGTCTAATACTTGGAAAAAAAATTGTGTGGCATTCCAGTGTATATAGGTTGTCAACCACTGCTCTAGTATATATTTTAAATTTGATGTATTTAAGTTATGAGCTACATAAGAAATGCTTAAAATATTTCATTCTTCTTGCACAAAACAGAAAATAGTAGAATCTACTCATTGTAATCAGCTTTTGAATCCTTATATTGATAATTAACTAAAAAAATCATGTGGGGTAAGTAAAAACTACAATTAATGGAATTTTGCTTTTATTACATTACTACTTACATTAAAAACACCCGAAAACAATTAATATACTGTATTAGGGTTGATCATAAAATAAGTAGACGACAAAAATTGTAGATTGACAAAAACAACTTTAATTAATTAATCAAAGTTGTTTAAGTGCCACAGTTGTTAAGACATTTGTCCCATCTTTTCACTAGGCAGTNCCCAAAAAAATATAAAATAAAGATATATACAAATTTGCAAAAACAATAATGGTGTACTACCACAGTTCACTCTTGTGTTAGAATGGAACAGAGACAACTGAATACACTGAAAAGCGACAACACTACACTAGTTCACACAACAATTAGTGTTGCTGAATCATTGTCTCGCTGCACCAGAAGTGACGTAAAAACTTAAATTTTTATTGATTGATATATGCTTACAAGTTAATAGCAATTCTTTCATGTAGACTTTTCTATATGTTTATCCCAAAATCAATGTTTCTCTCATTTATTTCAAATGGCTTTGCTTCTTCAATACTTGTTGGTCTTTAGCTATAAATTATAAATGTTATTCTTTATAGATCAAACTGTTCTAATAATGGAAATACGACAGTATTATGTTGCATTTAATACCATATCTTGGTGCACAAAAATCTCTCTCTACATCATGTTTTAGGTTGATGCAAACGAAATGGCTGTTTTTTAATTTAAACTTTCCAACCTTGTATTTCAACTTTTTTCCATGTGACTAGTGCTGTGTGTTTGTAATTGGAAGAGCACATCTATTATATATGAATTTAAAAGTGTAATCTCATTTATATTGTGAGTTCCACATGTTTAAGAGTAAGAGTATTTTTCTGATGGCATGGAAAAAATGAAAACGAATAATTTTCTTTTACAAGTATAAGCAGAGACATACCTCGGGTTGCTTCACTGTATTATCAAGAAAACTTGGTGAAGGTTCTGAGAGTGAGCATGCCACCAGGCAATGGTTCAAAAAAGCTTAGTTAAGATTTCTATCAACATTTCTATTTGTCACAAAAATAAGTACAGTAGAACCTCGAAAACTCGGCTCTCGATAACCCGGCACTCTGGATAACTCGGCCACACCCTGGCAGGGCAAAAAAATCCTTAATTAATTAATTTTCATTATAGACAGCTTTATAAAAGTATAAAAGCTCTCATAAAGTATTTTTCTGAGGTCTGTCTTATCAGGTAAATTACTGTACACAGTGTATTCATTAATTTTCATTTTCATGTAGTAAAGGCTCTATGCCTTCATAAAGGA